GCAATGCATATTTTTTACTTAGAATATAAATTTCTCCTTTCAATCCTTATGTATTTACTTGTTTATTTCTTTTCATTTGACACATAAAAATTGTGTATATTTATTGTATACAACATCATGTTTTGAAATATATATACATTGTGGAATGGTAATATAGAGCTAATCAACTATGCATCATCTCACATACTTATTTTTTGCGATGAAAACACTTAAGATCTATTCTCTTGGTGCAATTATTCTTAAACTTAAAATGGATAAAGCAGTAGACATCTTTTCAGGTGTTCTTCAAGGCTGTGGGTCAAAGACATTCTATTTCCCTTAGAACTATCTACCCCGATTATACAAGTGGGCTCCCTACAGTCAAGACACATAGATGGTTACGTTCTAATGGCCAAGGTTGACTAGACTTTGGACAGACACCTAACACTACCTAGAGAGATCCCAGTCCCTTTTTAAGCATTTGGAATTTTGGCTATAGATCTCTTTATATATGTATATATTCTGGAGTACATGTGCAGATCTTGCAGGATTGTTACATAGGTATATACATGCCAAGGTGGTTTGATGCCTCCATCCTCCGTCACTTACCTTAGGTATTTCTTCCCATGTTATCCCTCCCCAATCCCCCCACCCTCTGCTATGCCTCCCCAGCCCCTCATCCCCCAACAGACCCCGTATGTGATGTTCCCCTCCCCCTGTCCATGTGTTTTATTTGTTCAACACCCACTTATGAGTGAGAACATGTGGTGTTTGATTTTATGTTCTCGTGTCAGTTTGCCGAGAATGACAGTTTCCAGATTCATCCATGTCCCTGCAAAGGACATGAACTCATCCCTTTTTAAGGCTGCATAGTATTCGATGGTGTACATGTGCCACGTTTTCTTTATCCAGTCTATCATTGATGGACATTTGGGTTGGTTCCAAGTCTTTGCTATTGTAAACAGTGCCACAACGAACCTAAGTGTGCATGTGGCTAGAGATTTTAATCACAGCACAGCCTGATGTCTGGAACTTAAAAGCTACAAAACCACAAAGCTGTGGGGCAGATGTCTCCTGCCACCTTCACTAAGTCATAGGAAAGTCAGTCAGCAGGAGTACAGAGAGAAGTAGGCATAAAAGAAAGGGAAAACACTTCTTCACTTTCACTTACTCAATTTCCTAGTTCCACAGGGTCATGTCTCTTTTTTATTCAGCAAGCTTTTAACTGCCATACCCCCCAAAAATATAGATAAGATTGCTTCAGCCCCACTCAGCCACCCAATGTGGTCTCACAATGCCTGACACACATCCTGTTCTTAGATGCAGTGGAAATTCCCTTGATCTCATTGCCTCACATTAGGTGCAATATTAACCAAAACAAACTTTATTCTGAGAAGGAAAGGGAGCCTTACAAGTTTTGTCAGAATATATTTTTACAATGAAATTATTTTAAACTTTTGACAAAATTCAATTTAGGCATAAAACTTTTTGGTGCAAAGACACCTGCAAGCTTTTTATCATAGGTAATAGGACCCCCACTTACCTGAACTGTTAACCTGTAGTGTGAATCAGATAATCAATGGATTCAGTTGCCAAAATCAAGTCTTTCAACTTATTGTAACTGTTTAGCAACACTGTCTGCCAAATGCACATATTTCCTTTGTTTGGAGAATCAGTATTCCAGAGACGCTGTCCAGTTTAAATTTTTTTTTTTTTTTTAGTCTTCCAGGCTGCTAAAACAGAATGTCATAGACTAGGTGGCTTACAAACAACAAAAATTTATTTCTCACAGTTTTAGAGACTGGGAAGTGCAAGGTTAAGGAGCTGGCAGATTCATCATCTGGTATGGGCCAACTTCTTTGTTCACAGATGGCCATTTTTTTCCTGTGCCTTCCATGGTGGAAGGGGTGAAGAAGCTATTTGCAGTCTTTTTTCTATAAGGACCTTAATCTCATTCACAAGGGCCTCGTCTTCATGACCTAGTCGCCTCCAAAAGGCCCTATCTTCAAATATCTCCACACTGAGGATTAGATTTCAACATAAGAATTTTGAGTAGACATAAACCTTAAGTTTATAACAAGATTCTTAATTCACTACAAATGCATACTATGTGGTTTATAAAATCCAAGGAAATAGTAACATTCCATGAGACCATTGTGAACCCTTCCAGAGATGGCAAGTCTGTTACTTCATCAAAAAGCTAATTTTCTTAAGTGAGACAACACCAGCCTTCCAATAACATCTTCTAATTAATAATTCCAGAAACAGTAGATAATAAAACCCATATGTTCTTAAGAATTTAAGGTTGAATATTCTGTCAAAAGTATTTCTGGGGTAAATTCCAAAAATAGTAATTCCCACTGCATTGATTTAATGATCATATGTGTAATTATGAATTCAATATATTTCCATCATAAGACTGCAAGACCCATTACAGCAGAAAGTCTGTCTGGATTGATAGATCTCATATCTTTCCCTTGTGGTGCTGATACACAGTTGCCATCCAATAAATATTTGTTGGATGGTGAATGCATTAAGGAAATCAGTTTCTTACCCTTTGGCAGTCCCTGTAAGTCACTCAAAGCAACAGGAATTCTGGTCTATGTATCAGAAGCCCATAAGGAATCAAGAAGGTAGCATCAACCATTTGAATGTGGAATGATTGTTGGACAGCAGTGCAAAGCCATAGAAGTAAGGTCAATACCTCAGAAGTAAAAAGGCAGATTCCAAGTTCTCCAATAGCAGAGGCTATTCATTTTTACTGAAATCTAGTCTCCCAGATTCTACTAAACACTATCTCATTATCTCATTTAATTATCACAGCAACTTAACAGGTCAGTGTGATTTGATCCATGGTGTTGCAGATATAAGAAAAAGTGTTTAAAGGACTTATTAATACATATCTTGCCCAAGTTACCTGGTTTGTAAATGTTACTGTATGTATATAAAGCCAGGATTATCAGTTTCTAATATTCTCACCTTTTTATGGCACCAGAGAAGAGTAATGGTTGTGAAAGAAAGTAATCAAGAGAGGATTCTCGGCAACAGATGATTTGAGCAGGTTCAACGCAATTAGAGATCTAATAATCACTAACATTGATTTACTGCTTATTGGATATGAGGCAGTATTCTAAGGCCTCATAGTTTTTCACTAATTTAATTCTTGTCTGATGAAGATCCATGAAATAAATGCTTTTACCACCTTTATTTTATACACAGGGAAATTGAGGAATAAGCAGGATTAGTACCTTATCTTAAGATTACATAGCTAGAAAATTATGGATCTAAGATTTAAGCACAGTTTTTACCAAAGCATGTGCTTTCAGCCATGACATAACATTCCCTTCAGTAAGAACCTATTAACAGCTATTTTACACAGACTCATCTGTTACACCAGGACAGCTTGGTCAATTTATATTTTAGTCAACTCTAACCATTCAAACCCAAGTGTGAAGGTAAGAGGATATTCTCTGAACAAATAAAAAAGTCATAAGAGTTTGACTAGAGAATGTCAGCACCTCAGTCTTCCCCATGCTTTTGTCTGCTCCATCTGCCCAGAAGCTCCAGCCAAGAAATAGCTCTTGGTCATGGCATTCAACTGCTCTAATAAATAAATTTTGTTCTAAATGTAATGACACTTATTTAGTCACGGACTTTCAAGAAAATGGCCTATTCCTCAGCAATGGGGACACTAACATCCTTTGGTTTCTTTCTAGAGTTGAGACTTTTCACTAAAATAAATCACAGTTGCTCCATAGGAGAAGAAACAATTGATGTCTCAACATCTCTTAGAAACACAAAACCTAAGCCAGTTAATAAAAAGAGACTGTCAAGGGCAGAGGATACAGAGAGCCCACTGCAACCTCAGCAGGTTACACAGGCTGGAAGGATATGGCTGGGAAAAGGGATAAGCCCCCTTTTCTCCTATGTACAACCACATTACTGTTATTCTGGTTCACAGCTTTTATAGAACACTAACTATCACCACTGGGACTTCAGAGCAAAAGGGAGGTACAATAACCACGAGGTGGAAAAGCACTGGGGAGGAAAGTGGACTGCATCTAAAATCAGGAGAATAGATCCAGGATCAGAGCTTCCACAGCCAGGCAGGTGACCTCGATCCCTACTTTACCTGACAAATCCCTGTGCAGCTTTTGTCAGGTCTTACTTACCAGACTTTCAGCACAGGAGTAAGCGGTGGTGTTCTTGTACTGGGAAAAAATACCATTGTTGCATCTCATTCAATGATATTAGCTACATTGATGGGCAATACCTAGTTCCATTAATTAAGGCATTAGACCTCCGTGCATTCACTAGAGAAAGTAAAAAGAGAAACCCTTTCATCTGTTCTTTGGTTACTCAGTGGCACTGCATAGGCAGGAAAGACAGGATAGATGTTTTACTCTATCCATTTCTCTACTCAAGGTGCTGATGCCACCAAAATCCCTTATAAGGAGAACTTGATGACTCCTCCTTGTGCCCTCTTGTGTCTGCCATTTTGCTTTTCTGCCTGGGCCACAAAGTCATTTTCAGTCTTCTCCTTAGGCCACCCAAAGCATATTGGTTAAATAATTTCTCAAATTTCTCCCATTTCCTATCGAGTCTCTGTATTGTTATTAACATACACCTAGATCACAGCTCATTTACAGTGTTGCTGTTAGAAATAGAGACCACACAGCATTTTTCCTATTCTTTCCATTTTAAGACATTATAGCGTCATATTCATATGTCATTAAAAGTGAGAGAATGTGGAAGAATATAGTCTCTTGGTGCTCAAAATAAACAGGATCATGCTGGCTCTTTTTCTACTTCATGTTGCAAACAGTGGACAGGAAAACAGTGGATCTGTTTTCTGGTCTCTGCATTTTGTTTGTCTAAAACAAACAAAAAACCCAGCAAGGTCTTTGTCTTTAAAATAAACATAATTTACTATTTTTAATAAAATAGAATATATAGACAATGGGACTACCACCTGCGCTCTGACAGAGTAGTTGTCTTGATGTTGGGATTGGCATTGCTGACCTGCCCAAGAGCCTCCTCTGACACTGCCACGAAGCCACCCTTAGTCTGTTGTCCATTGTCCATCATAGAGCTGAAAATGGTGAATTTGAGGGAAATGTTTTACATAAGTCCAGTGCGTAATTCCAGCTCTTCTTCATTCTGTAATTCAAAATTACCACTGCCACTTAAAATCTTGGTATCATCATCTGTAAAATGAGATAGCAACACACGCTTTCAATGGTATTATGAGGATTAAATAACATAGGTAGAAATCCATATATACTTCTCAAATACATACATATTTACCAAGAAATGCCATTAAATAGCAGCTATAAATACTTCTGGATTCCCAGCTTGTGGATAAAAAGCACAAATTTCAGAAATCAGGTAAAATGTTCACTTTCTTTAGGTCTTTAAAATGCAATGCACATAATAATTATTCCCTTTTCCAAAACAGATTCTAAAATATCCCTTAAAGGCAACACTCACTGTACTGCAAGCATCTCCTACAGCTGGTAAACTTCCTGAAGAGAGGCACTTTCTTTGAGTCCTCAGCTGATGGTGCCTGGCATATACTCAATAATTAGCTTTGAAATGAATGGATCTAGCCTTAAATAACAATACCATCAATATACCACTAAGTTACAGCATGTGATTTGCATAAAATTACTTCCCTTAGAAAGTTGTAACATTCTAGGAGACAGTGTGAGAACATGCTCTGTTTTGCATGGATAACACATGTTTAGTGCTTAAACGATGTCAGTTGGTCCTCTGAGAGTGTTTTACAAATTTTGTCTCCTCCTTCCACCCCTTGTACCCAGCATACAATAATTCGGCACTTTTCTAGCCTTCTTCAATAATTCAGTGTTTCACTTGTAATACATCTAAGTAGAAGATCATGAAAATCTAAGCTGATCATGTATCTTAACTCCCCAACTACTATGGTAAAATTTGAAGCCAATTCATCTTGGTTTGGAGTCAGCTGGTTCTTTGTCATGCCTCTTATCCCATGAATTTATTAATAGCACCTTTCACTCTCAAAAATGCCCCAGTTTGGTCATCCTATTAATAAGCTACTGGAGGGGCATGTCTTCTGTCCCATTGGTCTTCCTAAACACAAAATTTATTCTCAACAGATGTTTGTTGGTTGAAACAAGCATAGTGCTTTGCTAATCAGTCTAATAAGAGCAGGTGTTCTTGTCTTATACATTTCTCCTCAGCTCTTCTCTGAATGAGGCATCTTCCCCAAAAGCCTTTATTTTGACATATCCTTAATAATGCTTCTCTTGTCCTTAAATAATTAATGGGTTTAAAAATATCTGTCAGTATAAACAGAGTGATACATGGAGTGGAGAAAAACAGTGAATATTTTGGCAGAACAAATAAAAGCTGCACTAGTTAACTATATAAATCTCACCAATAGAGCTCATCTGCCTTTCACAGCAAGAGTTTTAATTTCCTTTGTCACCAGGACTCAAAAATCCATGCCACATGAGTGGGCCTACTGCTTTATCCAGGACTGACACTAACTTTCTTATGTGCATTAGTGCAATGGTCAACTTGTCCTGGTAGAGACCAGGTAGGTGACTGGGTGATGGTGACAGAGAAGAAAGGGCATGGAAAGATAGGGCAGAATCTGGGCGGGAAAGCTTCCTACATTAATTGGCTTTGTTGCAGCCACACAGAGGAAAGTATATTTCACACGCATACATGTGCACACATACACACACACACACACACACACACACACACACACACCCCTAATGTCCATTGGCCTGTTTTTATCACTACTAAGGGGTTTAGAGGAATACCTTTCTCTGGCATAGCTGCTCCTTAAAAGAGTGTCAAGGAGACAGTCAAGCAAGGGAAGAAATAATTGCAAGTAATTTCATTTTCACCACAAAGTTCAACCATGTTGGCTAAAACTCTTATATTCAAAGGACAAGAATATCATTTTTATCAACATAGTAAAATGTCTTCTCATATTGTCAAACATTAGTGGTTCCAAATTGTGAGTAATCCCCCCCCCATCTGCAAGGGAGTATTTAACCATATCTGGAGACACTTTTGAATACCATGATTATGGGGTGAGGGGGAGGGTGGCTATGGACACCTAGTAGTCAAAGGCCACAATGATGCTAAACATCCGGTTGCGCTAAAGATAGGTCCCTATGACAAATAATTAATTGGCCACAAATGTCAGCAGCATCATTGTTGAGAAATATTGGTCTCTTTGTTAATTAAAAAATATGGAATTACAGAGGAATCAATTTGCTTCTTCATTTAATAACTACCAAAAACTAAGCAGTATATTGTTTGTTCTAGATTCTGAGACTGGAGATGAATATGACATGTTTCGGAAAGATCTGATTCTGGCGATTGGTGGCCTAGAGACCCTGAAAGCCGCCTGTAATATGATATTTGAAAATTCTCAGTGGACTATTATTAAATAATACCTTTTTAAAAAGTGAAATGAGGCTATAAGAATTTTTTTAAGGAATGCTGTTCAAGTCAAAAAGTGAGAATATTTGGAACAAGAAGTAGGCACATCTCAGCCGCGTTTCGCCCTGGGGGTTAAGGGAAGTCTGTGTGCTGGAGCTTCAGTCTGCTAAGGGAAGGGGAGAACAATTTGCCTTTTAAAGCCTATAAATGTTTTACATAGTCAGAAAATAAAATTTGAAAAAGAGAAGTAAATTCAAATTCTAAAACTGAAAACAAATAAAAACAATTGTAAATCTAGCATAGTAGTATATCAAACTAGTAACAAAACTTGCAAATAAAATTTTTCAGGTTACTTTTGAAAACAAAACTGCGAACTTTACATTCTAGGAGAAATATGTTTTGAGGCCAAATAACTAAAAAATCTTAAGCAGCAATCAGTAATTTTATTTTTGTTAGTAATAACATCATCATATTCCATTTTAAAACCATTATATGTTTTGCAGATCGAGTTTGACCAGGAAATAAAAATACATGTTGAAGAACATAGAAAATTAAACAGTATGTTAATTTACAAGGAATCAAATTTTCAGTATAAGAATAGAAATAAAGTATGAAATAAAAAGCCATTGTTTCTATTTGTTTTCAGCTTTAGGATTTGCATTTGCTTCTCTTTTTAAAATTTTATCTTCTGACTATGTAAAACATTATAATTATAGGCTTTTAAAGGCAAAATTTTTCCCCCCTTCCCTTAGCAGGATAAACTTAACTTTTGATTTTATAGGATGTATAAGGTTTAACTTGAATTGGCAGTATCAGGATTTTTAAATACATCTCTCTTAGCACTTTCCATTGGCCTACAAACCATAAAACCATGACATTCCAAAAGCAATAAGAGCACAAACGTTATTTTATCAGAGCCCAGCACTAGTGCCATTGCTGGAGAAAAAAAAAACTCACTAGATAGAAGTAGAAAATAAATCACTAGAAATATGTGTGTATTGTATACCCACAACTGCAATGAAATATATTTCAGTGGATTTAATCTGGTTAGAAGAGATAAATTATTAAATCACAAAATGTAAAGAAATAGAAATTTGAAATTAGCAAGACTAAAAAGAATTGGATGTAAAAGTTGATGAAGCTATATTAATATCAGACAAAATATATCATACAGTAAAAGTATTAATATGATTGCAGAGGCTTTCTTCAAAATGATATAATTTTAATTCAATATGAGGATATAACAATTCTAGCTTTTCATTTTATAAAATATAATAGCCTTAAATGTATAAAGCAAAAATTTGTGTGACTATAAAAATAAATTACCTAGGGAATATACAACAAGCCTCTCTTATTTTGGAACAATAAGCAGAAAAATACTATTGTAGATTTCAATATTTTTTATTACCTAATGGAAAAATGCAAACTATCTTACATTACTGCCCACCAACATTCTTAAAAATGAACTAACACCTTAATTCTAGCAGATGACTTTGCAGATTCTTTTTCTCTTTATTTATTTATTTATTTATTTATTTTTTTGAGACAGAGTCTTTATCACCAGGTGCCAGGCTGGAGTGCAATGGAGTGAGCTCGGCTCACTGCAACCTCTGCCTCCTGGGTTCAAGCAGTGCTTCTGCCTCAGCCTCCCAAGTAGCTGTGACTACAGGCACGCACCACCACGCCAAGCTAATTTTTGTATTTTTTAGTAGAGATAGCATTTCACCATGTTGGGCAGGATGGTCTCGATCTCTTGACCTCGTGATCCACTCACCTCGGCCTCCCAAAGTGCTGGGATTACAGGCGTGAGCCCCCACGCCAGGCCAACTTTGAAGATTCTTTAAGACTTTCTTCATAGGTTACCATGTCATATCATAATAAAGAGTTTTATTTCTTGCTAATTAATCTAGAAGACATTTATTTTTCTTGCCTTATTGTACCAACTAGAACCCAGTACAAAGTGAATAGAATTATTCACTTTGTGAATGTCTTTCCTTTGTTTCAGTCTTATAGGATAACATTCAGACTTTCAACACTGAATGCATATGATGTTAGTTATAGTTTACATAGTTCCTCTTTATTTCTTTGAGGAAGTTCCTTCTTATTCCTACTTTAATGAGAGTTTTTAAAATGAAAGGATACTGAATTTTGACAACTGCTTTTTCTGCACTTTTGAGATGATTGTATGGATTCTACACTTTGTGGATAAAGGAAATTGCATGAATTATTTTTTAATGTTAAAACAACTTTGCATTCCTATGATAAACTCCTCTTAGTCATAATGTCTTATCCTCTTTATATATATCTTTATTTTTAGTATTATTTTTAAAGAATACTGGAGATATTCATGAAGGAAACTGTGCAGTTATTTTTCTCTGTAGTGACTTTGGCACTGGCAACAGGGTAACACGGTTCTGAGAAAATAAGTCAGAATATATGAGCTTCTGTTTATTTTATGAAATAATTTGTGTGAAATTGGTATATCTCCCTTATGGATTTGCAGAATTATTAAATGTTCCTGTCGAATTATTCTTGCATGAGGGTTGGAATTTGTTCCTCCTGACTAGTTTTTAAATTAATAGCATAAAGTGGTTCATCATATTCTCTTTTTATCCTTCTAATATCTATAGAATTTGCAAAACTGTCCTC